ACTGATCCCCTTTTATTTACCTGGTAAATCCACTCCAGAACAAAAGTTTGCTCTGCTTAGCTAGGAAATTTAAATCCAGCTGAACCTTTCTGAATGTTTATGACAACACCTTGAACAAGATGATTCAGGCACATGCTTCCTGCTGATGAGAACTATCCAGCACTTGCATCCTCAGGTAAATAGCAGTAGGTCAGGATGGGTCAAATATAAATCCAGAAAGAGAGACAAGTTTTAGTGCTTTTCCTTTCAGACCAGCAGAAGTTTCTGATACCAGAATCAGTGACTAAACTGAAACAATGACAACTGCTACTGTCAAGTCTTGACTTACTTTGCAGATATTCAATGGGATAAAAAGAAACTCAGCTCTCCTAATCGAGGATAAGAATCAGGTCTAAGAGATTCAAGCCCTCCTGTGTCTGATCTCTGATCTGGGCCAGGGGAGTGGAAATTAATCCTTTTAGGTTTTAGAAGATCACTTTTAGGAAAGGCCTAGGGCCAGTCCAGAACAGGCTGTGTCATTAAAATATTTTATGACAACTCTTCTGGTCAAAGACCTTTATATTTCCACTGGATCTGAGCTTGGTCCTCACACCCTTCCCAGGACAGCCATTTGAGTCCTTGTCTCCTGTTGCAGATACATTTGTTCATGGACATTTCTTCAACCTAGCAGAGATTCAGAGAGACTTCTGTCACCTATACAGCCTCATTCCTGATTAGGACAGATCTTTGGGCTTGTCCCAAAATTCCTCCAATGATTGTGTAACAATTCCATTCAAATTAAGAAATTAACATCTGCTTTATTTGCTAATCTTCACACCTCTGTGGCTGAGTCATCTTTGGACACTAAATATGAAGAAGACCATTTTTTATTGGTGTGTTATGACCTATGGGCCATCCAATTCCTTGGTGTGAGCGGGCTGGAGTGCACTAGATCTCGGGTACTATCTCAGGTGTCTGCAGGGAGCTTCCTGCCTGAGGCACCACTCTTTCAGCTGCATGTCTGTGATTGCCAAGGCACCACGGAACACTAATTTATTTAATAGAATGGTCTTTCTTTTAAGAAGACCCAGCTGCGCATCCCCAGCACGTAAGATGAAGAGAAGTATCAGGATTGCCCAGCATTTATGGACTGGGTCTCAAAAGGAAAAAAATTATTACTACTAACTGCTGTTCTCTAAGCTATAATATCCATCGTGCACAATTGCTACCTATTTTTACTTTCCTTCCTTCCTCCTTTTCCATCTCTTTTTTTTTTTTTTTGGTACTTCTGCTGTTGAGCCGCACCACAATACACTGCTATTTTGTGATTATGTACACAGTGGGAGGGAAGGTAGAGCATGTGTGCCCCCTCTGGATATTGCTTCAGTAAAAGCAAGTCTGGCTCAGCTGTTTGCTCTGTGAACCTCCACACTGTAAACGTATATCTGGAAAACAAAACAAAACAAAACAAAAAACCCCAAGACATATCCAGGAACCACAGCCACTGGAAAGTAACCTTGCTTTCTTCCTCTTGGCTGCATAATACTCCCCTCTGCCTATCCTTTGAGAGTAGCATCTGCTTTCACAAAAATTCCCTCAGAATCTGGAGGAAGACTGACAGTCAAACTGTAGCCAATTCATACATGGGAGGACAAGAAGGATTTCTTGAACACTGTAAGAGAAGGTGACCAGCAAAGCAAATAATAACATCCCAGCAAAAAGGCAAGCACACAAAAATGCAAGATCAGTAATTACCTAGATCCCAGGTAGGATTGCGTGCCCATGCCCCAGGGTACTACAAGGAAGAGTGGGAAAGACACAACTCTTGCCTTGGTATGTTTATGTCTATTTTAAGATAAAACACTGCATATGGGTGAAAAGAACAGGGTAGTGAAGAAGTAGTAATATTTTGATAGATGTTTATTTGTCATGCCAGAACCACAGAAGAGTCAGGGTAAAAAAAATGAAAATGCTACACTGGTGTCGTCTGGTGACGTGTGGATGAAATAATGTGGCCATTGTGTCTGCCAAGCTGCAGTTTGGTTGCCAAGTCCCTGAGCTTTACCCTGGGAAACCCTCCCTTGCCCAACCCCACTTCCCGTCCCTGTACTTTGCAATTACCCCTGAATTAAGATGCCGGTGATGGAAACAGTGATTTCTGCACGTTACTAAGAGAGAACCTTCCTGTACAATCCAGCTGGCATTTTATCCTATTGCCCTGATTTAAGGAGTTAGCTGGTACAGGACGCTGACACTTGGGAGGGCAAAAAGCAGCTGCTCCTGTGCAGACGCCAGGCCCTCCCAACTTCTGCACCCCTCTGCTGCTCCCGACTGCGCGCTGGCTTCTCACAAAAAAGGCCTTTCTAAACTTTTCACTTGGGCGGGTTATTTCAGTGGAAGCGAATATCAGGCGGGGCTGGTCTCTGCCAGTAAGCGAGGGGAAGCCGCGAACCAGTGTGGGAAGCGAAGGACTGGAAGGTTGGACTCGATGATCTTGGAGGTCGTTTCCAACCTAACTGAGCCTGTGATTCTGTGAAAACTCTGGAGATAGGGCCGTGTACCCGGCCGCGTACCCCTCTCGTCCCCAGGACAGCCCGGCGGGTCCCTGAAGGAACCGCGCCCCGCCCGCCCCGCGCAAAGCCCCCCCGCGGCAGGCCCCCCCCCCATAGCCCTCCTGCCTGCTGCCTCGTCGCATCTAAGATGACGTCACCCAGTTGTCTCCGGCCCCCCGCCGTTTCGCCGTTGCGGGCGGACCCTCTCCGCTCATGACGTCAGAGGTGCGCGCGGGCCCGCTCGCACGTGGTGGCGGTGCCGCCATGAGCTGCCGGTGCCCTGCGCCGCCTGGTGCGGCGCCGGCGTGCCCAAGGAGACCCCGACAAGGTGCGCCGGGGCTGGGCTGGGCCGGGGACCCCCGCCCGCTCTCCCCGCCGCCCCCTCACCCTCTCTGTGTCCGCCCCGCAGGTGCAGCTCAGCGAGGAGGAGCTGAGGGTCTCATCGAGGAAGCGCAGACAGGCTGGTGAAGCCGGGCGGCGGGGAGGGGCTCTGCTGGGTGCGGGTTGGAGCCGAACGCGGGCAGCCCTGCCCGCAGCCCGGAGCTCCTGGAGGGCCGGCTTGGAAGCAGCAGCGAGAAGTGGAGACGGCACCAGCCAGCACGAGTTCCTCCTGGAGCGCTGTGCCGAGGGAGCCTGACGTCCCGGGAGGAGCGGCGGTGCGGAGATGGAGTTCCGCTGAGATTAGCTCAGCTCGTCGGAGCGCGGTGCTGATAATGCCGAAGTTGTGGGCTGGATATCCATTTGGGCCACTCACTTCGGAGTTGCGCTCCATGATCCTATGGGTCCCTTCCAGCTCAGAATATCCTGTGGTTCTTAAAGTGTATCCTGCAGTCGTTGTGGCCATGACAGGGTGGGCTGTGTTCGCATGTGGTTTCTCAGTTGTCAGCTGTGGTGCTGTCAGACTCCCTGAGCTTTTCTCGTGATGTCTGTGGCCTGGTCCTCTCTGGAGCTGCCATTCCCGCCTGGAGTGAAAAATAAGTTGGGTTTGTAACCGTGGGTGCTTTGGAGGTGTGGCAAACCGAGATGGAAATCCCAAACTGACTGTGAAAAAGTGATGCTGAGGATGTGACTTGACGATCTAAGGAAGTCTGGAGGCCGCAGTGGGGCTCAGAATGATGTGGTGTTTATGCTGTGGCAAAGAAGGCAGAACATCACTCAGGGGTGTGTTTATGGCTCACAGATGAACCTAGAGACATCACAACTCTCAGCACTGGAAGGTCTTAGTTATGTAGTTGCGTTTTGTCACTCTGCTTTTAAGGAAAAGGTATTTATGAAAAGAGTAACAGAAGTGACATATTTATGAAACAACCTATAGAAAACAAGGAAAAATGGCTCTCTTTTGTCTAGAAAAAGATCAAGGTATTGTTCTATTTTCTGGTCTTTTTCTGTTAGATTGTTCTCTGTAGGTTTGAATTTCTGATTCTGTTTCAGTTATGTAGGGTGTGTGGTTGTACCAGGGTGTGTGTGATTGAACTGTAAAAGCTTTTAGAATTGGGCAAATATTATTCACCCCATTTCTCTTGGATCAAGCAGTGACTTTATTGCTGAATAGTGTCTCATCCCAGAATGTGTTTTGTTCTGGTTTTGTTTTCTAATGGTTCCAAAATCGTCTTAAACATTTGGAAGTTCTCACTTTATGTTAGTTTCTTAACTCATGAAGTTTTAATGTTTCTGTTATCTGTAGTGTTACTCATTTCCCTTTATGTGTGTGAACTTTTGATTTTTTGAGTGGTTTCCTTTCTCTGGCAATTTCAAAAGCATGGAAAGATTTGAGGTGCTGGTTGTTATACAGTCTGTAAAACTTCAGGATGGAAATTTAACGACCATCTGAAACAACCAAAGATGTTATAATCTATTTATAGTTGCTGGTACTTCGTAAAATTTGTTACAACACCTCAATTTTTTTTTCCTGTGCAGAGATCTCAAATCAAACTGAGATTTAGGGTTTCAGGTATTTAATTCAGAGATCGTATCTGAGAACTGCCTTGGCTCATTGTTGCTTGGGAATTTTACATGCAGAGGGACAGAAATACAGTGTATTCAGCAGAGATGAGTTTCTATGGAACATGCTCCATTGAGACACCTCTGTTATGTTCTCAGCCATTGTTTAGTGTACATTTCCTTCTACTGAATGAATTTGTGCATACAGAATTGTTGCCATAAAGTTTCCAAGTTGCATAGTTTATCCCATAAGAAGTAATCCACAAATGTCCCTACCTAATAGATTTTATGCTGGTTTTTTTTTTCCTTCTATTGTAAGTATGGAAAGTGTGAGGAAATGAAGTTTTAAAAATCTTTAAGAAATGTAAGAGTCCTCACACATGACAGGGCCCGGGGGGGGGGAGAAAAAGGAAAGAGTGAATTGGACATGTGAATGCACAGAAGTGAGGTTAAGAAATGTGTAAGAGAAACAGATTTAGACACACGGTTTAGTTTGTTGAGCAAAATTCATGCCACATTGTGTCATGAAAACTTTCAATGAAAAACTTTCTCTGAAAACCTGAGAATAACGGTGCCTTGTATTATGGGAAAAGATCAGGAAGGAGTGAATGGATTTCCAAATGATTGCCATAAAGACTTGAAACCCATGTGAACAGCTAGGACTGTGTGCTGAAATCTGAACAGCAGTACCCTAAATAATTACCTGGAAGCGTTGTACATGTCTGTCACAATTTCTCAGGGATGTGTATCTTTCCACAGGGATGGTGCTGGTGCCAACAATGAAGATCAGACAGCAGGGGACACGAATGTGGCTGTTGCTGGCAGCTCTCAGTCTTCCCGTAACAATGAAGACCTGTCTGATCATGAACTGGATGAATATGATTTGGAAAATTACGATAAAGAGGAATACACGGGTAAGAAAAATTTATACATCAGATATGCAGTGCAAGGGAAGAACTTTTCCACTTCTTGTTGTACTTAAGACCTTAATATCCTAAAACTGCACAGTGTTAAGTTTCAGATGCTGGAAATTCACATTTTTAATAATTCGCTTGTCCCAGCTTCAGAAGTCATTTAGTGAGGGAAGCAATTCACTGCCCCCCTCCCTGACAGTAAAAGCAAGAGCATGTTGGAAAGATTGTCACTCCCTCTGCTGTAGTGCTGGAGCAGAGTGGCAGAAGTCCCTGAAAGCTCCAATCAGTTTAGCTTACCAAGGTACTTGGGTTTGAAACTTGGAAGTTCATTTAGCCCACTCCTGATATTTTGCATTATAGGTAATACAGGTATCAATACAGGAGTTTCTAACTTCACCTGTCACTGACATGTCTAAAAGTGTTCTGAAATTCCCGTCTAGGTGATTTACAACTTGGAGACTCTTTGGCTACTCTGGCAGTATATGGGAGTAATGATAATGATCCTTACATCACCCTAAAAACCACTGTAAGTACTTAAAAAATGTTTAATATTGTAAACAGCGTAAACTTAAAAATCAGTTGAATTTTTGACACTACCTTATGGTCTGTAAGTGCTTGCAGTCCTTTTTCACAGGTGTACCAGATTTTTGATCAGACTGAACTTTTTTCTTTCAAGGTTGCTTTGTACAGTCCCTTCTTTGTGTGCCTTTAGCATTTCAGTAGAAGGTTAAGGCTCATTATTTAAACCATGCAGAGTGGTTTTTCACCTATCTAGTAGAACACAGAAAATGCTTGAAGAAATAACAAATCTAAGGCCACTAATGGCCCAAATTAGAAAATTTCCTAGTCTGCAAGACTCTTGCACCTTCCACCAGTTTGTGTAAGAAATTGGGCTGAGGTGGACTCAGGCTACGTGTCAAATTAGGGATATGGCCTGAGGAAATACATCCCTGTTAAACAGAGAAGCACAGTGTGCTGTATTGTTGGCTGCTTCTGCCTGTGTTAGTTTCCACCTGTCAGAGGGGGAACATTTTTGCAGGAGCTGGGTGTGTAGGAGCTCTGCTCTGGGTGAAGAAGTCTCTGGCTGCAGCCTAACACAAGTTGTGTCAAGAGTACTGTCCTGTTATGTGGCTGTTTGCCTTTTTCTGGTGGACAGGGATGCAGCACAAGATGCAAGCAAGACACAAGGTAATCCTGCTACTCTACTTAACATTGGTATTGCCTTGGCTAAAATACTGGGATATGGAGAGATTCCAGAGAATATCCCCCAATTTAGTTCAGAAGGCTAGATTGCAGTTTGATTGACTTAATTTACGTGGAAAGATTACAGAAATCAGGTAGAACTAAGGTGAGGTTGTGTGAGAAGAGACAATCCAGAGAGCAACCAGCAGAAACTGTGATCATCTGGGGCTGGGTGATAGTAGGTGAATTTTTGTCACCTCTTCTAAGCATAAAGATCCTGAGATTTTTCTGGGTGCTGTCCTTGCTACAGTATTTTGGATTCTTTACAAAGCCAGTAAGATTGAAAGAAAATATTAGCTGTAGTCTTCCACCACAGTGTCTAGTTTCTGTGTCAGGGAACTCTGTCAAACATGACAAGGAGTCGTTATGGTGACTTCACATACTGTAACAAAGCTCAGGGAGGAAAGCACTCACCTTATCTCTAAAAGGAGTTCACTTGCTATGTGCACTTTGGGGCACTGTTTGCTTTCTCTGTGTTCCACTGATGATTTTTCTTGCTCCTGTGTATCAGTGGAGGAGAGAAATGCTTTAAAAGTTATTTTTATAGTCAAAGAGGTATTCACACAGGGATTCAGAGAGAATATGATCTGCATTTATTCTGTGTCAGAATAGCTAACTTTTTCAGATATACAGTAAGTGAACACCTTTTTCTCAATTCTTTCTTCCTATGCTCAAGTTCTTTCCTCAAATTCTGCAAGTTCTTCAACATGGATTTTGTGTTGTCTTTTGGTATTTACTACTAGTACTGTTGAAGACTAAGTATTGTGTAACATTAAGTTAATTAATTAAAAGAATTGTAGGACTTGATGGAATTCAAATATTGAAATATACTTGAAGTGAATAAAAAAAGAAATTAAAAACCTGCAACGAGAAGTCCAAGAAGTCTTGGATGTGGTGTATATTTGAAAGGTGGTACTCTTGTGAGACTATTGACTTATGTACAGTTCTTTGTTTTTCACTGACAAAAATTCCCAGATGCCTTTCATTCCTCAGTAATAGTGAAAGTCAGATGAGAGATTACATCTGTTCTGGTATAGCTGAATGCCCAGTAGAGCTGTAGACAGTACTTTTTGGGAAATATTTTGCAGGAAGTAGACTGTGTTTTGATGCTCTTGGAATTTCTTCCTCTGTGTGAGGAGCAATTGCAGTTTCTTTATTGGGTAAAATGCTGTTATACTATATAAATGGTCAAGAAGCAGGAGCATGAAGGAAATAAGCTTGCTTTGTATGTCCTGGTGGTGCTTTTCAGCAGTGGACTGCATCATGATAGCCTTGAAATATGGTTTCATATTTGGTAATTAAACATGTTTACAAATCCAGGTACGTCCACATACAAACTCCTTCAATTTATTTAATGACTATTCAGTCTCCCTGTGATTGGGGTCTGGTTCCTGCCTTTCTCTGTTTATCACCATAAGATGGTTTTAGGTGGGTGGGCATTGGGGTGTTGGATTTCGACTGTTTTCTGTTATGGTTAAAAATTACTCATTGATTCAGCCTTTTGAACTTACATAGTTCTGTGCATTTATGTGCATTGCTTAACGTCCCTTGTCCTCTCCTTTTTGCTGTTCAGGAGCAATATGAACAGGAGGACTTTTTGATTAAGCCCGATGACAATCTTGTCCTTTGTGGCAGAGTTGATAAAGACTGCTGTAGTTTGGAGGTCCATGGTAAGTAAAATAGGATTTGTTCTTTACAGTGAACTTAGTGAATATGTCTTGCCTAGCCTGTGCCATATGGTTGTGTCAAAGAGGGAGTGGGCTGGTTTTTTTAAGGTTTTTTTCTCCCCTTCTGCTCTGTGTTTTGTTCTTTAGCCACTTTCCAGGACTAGAATATTTCATGTGGAGTTATTGTTATTTAGAGGATAGCTTGCCTCTTTCAGGCTGTATAGCACTTATTTTCCTTATTTAATTTCTTATGAGACTTAGAAAATACTATGGCATTTTTATTCTCTGAACATACAATCTTTCTTCCAGTCTTACTTTCCATATCCTGCAAGCATCCCCTAATAGGTTGTTATTTTGAGTTTTTCCCTTCATCTTTCTCCTTGCTTCTTTAAATGGGCTTTCCACAGCTAGGACTAGAAGAATCAGGACTTTTATCATCATAGTTTTAGAAGAGATGGTCCTTAATATGGCCTGAATACTGCTTTTTCTAGCAATAGGTTTAATTTTACTGTGTAAGAGATTTTCCTGTTGCAGCAAGGAGTACTACTGAGTGTGCTGAAATTATCATCTTTTCTTACCATGGTTCTTTGTGGGAGTGGTTCTACCTATTTGTGTGATGGTCCATGTTTCTGCAAGCAAAGTATTTAGTTTTAAGCAAGAAACACAACCAAAATGTTTGACAGCATCTCTTCAGATACCAACATCTTTATTAACTGTGTCATTTTCCCCAATGTAAACTTACAAAACAATAGCAAGGGCTTCTGCAGTCTCTAACGTTGGGTAGCCCTGTCTTGGTTAACTACTAAGGCAACTTTGTTAACTGAAAACTTTAGTTATCTGAACATCTGTCACATGCACTTAAAAATGGCACAGTAATTTTGTGTGTGTGATGGTAATATATTATTAAAATAATTAATGTTTTTTCTTTGCTATCCAGCTAGTAAGTTATTTTATTATGAGAAAAATAGCTGGCTACAGGGAATGCTGTGTTTAGTGTATGGTTACTTTATTGAAACTCTTCCTGTATCTCAGTACAACATGCTAAAGGCAACTTCTTCTGACTTTTTAAGCTTCCTCTACTTTAAAATCTGTTTGTCTTTTACTTTCATTTCCACTTAAATTTCATCTGGAATGATTCTTTTTTTTAATTGCTAATTCTGTAAAGTGAATGTCTGAATCTCCATTAATGTGTTCTGCTGTAGAAAGTGCTGGATATGGAGCATCTATTTTGAAGTGCTCTTACAAATAAAGTAGTGGGGTGTGCTAGGAATAAAGTATTGCACCTTTGCTGAACTTGTCACTTCTTTATCTAAAGTACACAGGAGAGTGTTTGTTTTGTGTAATTTTGTTAAGTATAACATTCATACTTGGAGGGTCTGGCCTCTACACTAGAACTCTGAACACGTTCCAAATTTATATTCTAGACCTCCTTTACAATTTAGTCTTTGCCACATCTGCCTTTTGCAGAAGTTAACTGTTTTATAGTTGTTTGCTTTTCCTCTTCAATGATGTCTTGTTTAACTTTAATTATTTTTCAGTTTATAATCATGAAGAGGACTCATTTTATGTACATCATGATATTATCTTGCCTGCTTACCCTCTGAGTCTGGAGTGGTTGAATTTTGATCCTAATCCAGATGAATCAACAGGTAAATTACAAAGAATACTGTAAATGTCCAGTTAAATAATTTTTACTTGCAAAGTATATAAATGTAATGTTGTCACTAAATAATTTCTTCCAGAGGTACAAGCAGAAGTAAACCCAAGATGTTAAGAAGGATAAACTGAATATCAAGTGTTTTGGTGTGGTGATACAGTCATTTTAGTGATGTTTCTGTAACAAGTGATTTGACTAAAATACCGGGTTTATTACAAATAAACTGGGTTTATAAAAATATTTGTTATTGTCAATTAGCAGACCAGAGCAAGCTTTTCTCTTTGTATAATATAATCTGCTTTATATTCCATTTGCAAATGAAAGGTTGCTTTTGCTTAAATTCATTATGTCCAATGCAGTGATTAACTGTAAACTACAGAAAAATTTATATATATTTATGTATTTAGTAACCTTTTTCCTGTGTTTTACAGATACTTTCTTTTTCCATAGTACAGGGGATGTGGTTTTGTTTTGGTTTGTTTTTTCCTTTAAAAACAAACAAAACATGGAACTTTATACAACTTCTTTGATCAGTTACTTGTACTGAAGGGGAAGAAAACCAAGTAAATTTTTTTTCTGGCAACATCTGCTGTCAGCTGATATTTTTAAATTGCTCCTTGTCAGTTATAAACATCAAATATGTTCAAGTAGAAGACTGTGGCACATAAGTTTTACTTAATCAAAGAAATAAGCAACAGCTGCATTGCCAAATATGATATTTCATAACTCTAAATAAATGCGGTTGCATTTGGGTTTCTGCTTGTAGGAAATTATGTTGCAGTGGGTAACATGACCCCAGTTATTGACATTTGGGACCTTGATGTAGTGGAATCCTTAGAACCAGTGTTTTCTCTTGGAGGCAAGAAAGAGAAAAAGAAGAAAAAGAAAGGAAAGAAAGTAAGTATTGTAAAATTATTTGTCTGCTTGGATGGAGGAAACTTAGGGCAGAGAGAATGCCTTTTTTTTTTTCTACAATATTTGAAATGCTAATTGTTCTCTGAGTAATTAAAGCCTGGAACTAAGAGCAGAAGAGGAGTGGGGTGGCTTATGGTTGATTTCCAGTTGCTGTCCCAGTAAGCCTTGCATCTTAACCATTTGAAATTGGAATTCTAGGAGCTGGCAGTTACAAGGACCTAAAGCTCAGTTAATTGGGAGGTGAGAGAGGGAACTGCCAGGGGTGTTTAGAAACAAGCTGAAGAAGTTGCATGGTCGCTGGAAACAGTGGGATTTCTTTTACTAGCCCGAAGGGAGTAACCAGTTCTGTGAGCCCCACCAGCTGTGAATGGAGCAATCTGAGATCTGGGGTAGGAGGCAAGGTGCAGGCAGTGCAGAGACAGTTCTCTCAAAGGCTGTGTTGCAGCAAGTGAGAGTAATTTAATATGAAATTGTTGGTGAAGACATTTAGGAACTCTTGCTAATGCGGGGTGATGCTTGGTTTGCATTGAAGCTGTAATTTTCAAGCCTGTTTATTTTGTCTGTGTGTACACAGAGTCTGTCTTCAGAAGGGACCGTGGAAGGACATACTGATGCTGTGCTTGATCTTTCATGGAATAAACAAAGCAGGTAAAAGAACACTTGAATAACAATGGATGTTACAAATTTGCATTCTTAATTAGGCATACAATGTGTACTCAAAATCCAAAAACTTGAAAGCCCTTCTAAAATTAATCCATTCTTAAAAATACACCCCCATTTTATTCTTTTTTTAAAACTAGAACTCTTGATTATTTTTTTAAAGTATTTACATATTGCTGCAGATCACTTTTTATTTGCAGGTTTTCCAGCTAAAGGCAGGGCAGAGGTAGATCTGAGCCATTTGATAAATCGCCTACATTTCACATGTACAAACTGGAGAAGCAGAAGGGCTCCCCAGAGCTACACTGATCTGCCAGTGACCTAAGACACCATTTCAAGAGATACAAGTAGATTTATAGAAGAAGGTTCTTGCTATTCTGTTTTTTTCCCTCTAGCTTTTGCCCCAGAGCTGTGAACAGAAAAGAGAGTGTAAAAGCCCTAATAGCACAGTTACAGAAATGAAATGCTTCTAGCCTTTGGGTTATCCTTGGCAGAGAGAATTCCCTGTTGCCCGAATCAACTAACAATGAAGTGCTGCTATTGAAGCAACACAAATGTGGCCCATCTTGGAGCAGGGGTCAAGGACAATGTGCTGACTGAAGTAAAAGATGCTGCTGGGTTTTTATCGGTTAGGTGGTTGTGAAGAGTTCATCTATCAGAGGAACCTCAGCATGGGTCTTGAAACTGCTCCAGTCAGACACAGGCTAATTTATTTTGTTTGTGAATTTTTTAATTTTTCTATTCCTGCTGTCAGAGATGCCTCTTCCTCTGAAGATGAGCATAGTCAACTCTGAATACTCTGAGCAGGTGTAAGCTTTCACTTGTAGGGCTTTCTTATATAGATACTGAAGAATAAAACACCCACGTGGACCTCAGTAAGTGTACATAAATTGCACTCTTAATTTACAGGGTAATGTCTATTGTTCTTAAATTATACACGTAGACAAAGAGTGTGGTAGTGATCAGTCCATCAATCTTACAGAAAGAGTAGCTTTCATGTACCTTTCATGGTTGTCTGGCGATAATACACAGACAAGTATAGAAAAAATTATGGTTTCAATTGCTAAGTGTCTGAAATGCATAATTCTGTAATGTGCTGAGTTACAGTTCATTGATATTGGTAGATCTCTCAGGAAATAAAAACAGCCCTGAAGAGGGAAGGTTATGGACGAAACAAGGAACTCCTTGGAGCAGCTTATATTTCAAATGTGTTTTTTGTTGTTTCTTTCTTTTAAGCAAGGCTTGTTGTGACAGCTCTCTACAAATAACTTTCTGCCTGTAGGTCACAATGGTGTTACTGTAAAATGTTCTTACAGCCTTCACTGTGCATTTTCTTAACTTTCCCTTGTAACATTGCTTGGGAAAACAGCGTTTCCAGGAGAATATTAACTCTTTCAGTCAGAAACACTTGGTTAATATAAAAAGTGGAGGGAGAAGCAGTTTCAATCAGAAGCAACATGTTGAGGTATTAGATCTGATTTTAAGAGCTGTGAAGCAATGGTAGAAATTATACTGTGTGTTTGATGGGCTTGTGGGAATGTTCTGATTTTTTTTTCTGATTAAACTTTTAAACTGTGTTTATAGCTCTTAACACAATTGGTCAAATTCAAGTTGAAATGTGGGGTCTGTAAACTAACTGAAATTTTAGTGATTACTTTCAGCAGTATATGAAGGGTGTACTGTGTTGGGTCTTCAGTGGTTATATAAACAGTCAGATATTAGCAAAATACTTTAAAAACAGGTTTGTCTGGCTCTTGACTATATGCATATGCAAATAAAACTAAGTTTTGCATAGGTAATAAAATGCTGTTCAATGTCAAAGGAAAGAAAGTGCCTAAAAGCCTTTATTACTTCGGCGTTTTTTGAGAAATCTTTGAGTAGATGATATTTTAAGTGATGTCAGGGGGAATTACAAGCAGAACTGTTGTTGTTGTAAGTGTTCTACTAATGTAATGTAATATAGCCTATTTGTAGTCTTTACTTGTAACTTAGAATTGCCTTTCAGGAGTTAATCCTCAGGCTTGAGAGACATAGTCTATAGACCAGAGTGTACTTGTTCTCAGAATTGGGCTCTGTATGTATTTTGGATTTTTCACCATTATTTGTTTGTGTAAAGACTTCTAAAACTGATTTTTTGGTCCATTATCAGGAATGTTTTAGCAAGTGCATCTGCTGACAACACTGTGATTCTGTGGGATATGTCTGTGGGTAAGCCAGCAGCCAGCCTGACGCTACATACAGACAAGGTATGTAATAATTGCTATGTTTCTTCCATGGTAAAATACAGAGGAAAAAAATAACTGCAGTTTTTCATTAACTGCTTGGTCCTGAACCCTCAGAACAACAATTCTGTAATTTTCTAACAACTGTGCAGAATTGTTTAAATTTCTTAATTAGTTGCTTTTGTAAACAACACTGCATTTGCTTTTTAAAATGTTATCTAACTTATCCTTTAGAAAGTTAGCAAAGATTTACAGCAGTTTTTAAAATGCCTTTCTGTGAAAGGCCTAATGATGGAGAATCTAATAATGCTGGTATAAGCTACAAAAATAGATGTCTGAGCAGAGGTCAAACTAGAACTCTCTCTTAAGGGAACAATGAGTGTCAGTTACAGTTTGTTCTGGGTGAAAAAGGTTTAAAATAAATGAGACTAAAATACCATAGTGGTGGGTACGTCAGAAATGAATTAATCTCATAGTAATTAAAATGTGAAGGCTAGCTATTAAGAGTTATAACCTTATTTTGCTTCTAACAAAGTCACTGCCCTTGACAAACTCCTAATTTTCATTTTTTGTTAACATCTGCTTTTTCTCCCCAAACTGGAAGCAGATATTTATTTTACCTCCTCTAGCTTTTTTATTTTTTTTTTTTAATCTAGGGCAGAAAGGGGGCAGGGGGTCCTGTTCAGTTAAATTATATTGGAAAATACTTTGTTTCCACCAGGTGGGGGTGTTTGAAGCAATGTGCATCTCTTGCACTATTTTATAAGCAATTAGAGTACCAACACGCTCATTAGGGTGTTTTTTGGGGGGGAAAATGTGCTGGCTTGGGGAAGGGGTGGTTGTGCTTTGTTCCAAGAAAGTTCCTGTGTATGTGTGTTATATAAAATCTTCCATTATCCAGGTGCAGACATTGCAGTTTCATCCGTTTGAAACTCAGACCCTTATTTCTGGATCGTTCGATAAGTATGTCAGGGTAATGTTTTCAAATGTTGCACATAGGGAGGGTATTAGTATTCAGTTAAGCCCATTAGGTTGTTTTGTGTTTTCTTTTTCATTTTTTTATAACTCTGCCAATTTGAGTAATGCTGTTATTTTTTTCCAGCAAGCTAGCCAGGTTTGTATGTGGCCAAAATGTGGTTTTCCTTACCTCTTTTTTGGAGGTAGCCAAATGCTTTAACCATCTGGACTGACATTTTTTGTGCCAGGTGTCTGTTCCAAACTGAACTTATTTTTTCATTTGTCCTTATAGGATTTTCTGCATTAGAACTGTGTCACTTTTTATTCCTGTGAAAACTTGCCCAGGTTTTGCCAACCTGTAAGGCCAGGGTTGGGGGGGATGAGGGACCTTAAAATCCCAGACCACTCCCTACAGCCTTTCTAGCCATGCCATAGCCAAAGTGTAAAGGGCTGTCTCCTCTGATTGCAGCCTGGATATGCTCAGAAAAGTTTGTGTCTGCAAACTTGGATAGCTCTGTAACTGCCAGTTCTTACAAGCCCTGCCAGCCAAAAAACTTCCTCTCTGTTCTCCCGTCTCAATGGGGTAACTTTTAATTTTGTTCTATGACCATGATTTTCTTACGTTGAATTTTTTATTCTGCTTTTAAGACTTTGTCCTTGTGTTAAAATATTTATAGACTTGTCAGTCTTTAGCTAAGCCTTGGTCTTCTCTGGCTTCTGTTACACTCTTGCTACATCTGCTTAAGTGAAAGTATCGGAGAAAAACCTTTTGCCTCTGTTAGGAAGCTGTGTCTATTTCCTTCCCTTTGACTTCCTTTGATAAAAGGATAAAGTCCAAATGTTGAGACCAGCTAGTCAATCCCTCTTCAGCTATCCCTTTGATACCATGGACCTCTGTAAACCAGTAGACTGCCTTTGTGGACTTTTCCTGCAGAGCCTTGCCAGGACCACAGGCTATTCAGTGAATAGTGGCAGATGCCTTCATAGCCTGAAAATCAGACTGTTAAAAAGCTGTTGTGTGAAATGCCTGGTGAAAGAGCTGGGAAACCGAGATCACATTTCTTTTGCTTTAATTACAGGATAGGGTGGGAGTGGGTTAGGCTGTGGATGCTGATTGCGGTGAGATGTCGCTGCAGTGACATGACCACTCCTCCCTTGCATTTGCAGCCAGGAGCTTTTTGAGTTGGGACAGATTCTGCAGCCACTGGGCTGAGCACATATCTGTAAAGAATCCCAGAGGATCCTCTAACTTCCATCTACTCTCTCCTTTTTGGAGAAGTGTTTCTCTAACTACTTGTAAAGATTGATTTTTATTTTTTTAAATTTCTTTTTATTAAAGCATATTTGAAAATGTGTTAATATATATCACAAAATGATTTCCTAATTAGTACATCATTACTTGACTTTACTGAAGTCTGTTCATAATTAAGTGATATATTTGCATAATTATGGTCTCCTGTGTGATAAGTATCTTATGTATTGAGTAAATTCAAGCTCTGTTTGCTTAGTTTCAATAGAATGACTGTTCATAACCAAGATGAAACTTTGAAGCACATGAAAAAAGCTTGTGCTTATCTGCGAGATTTTAATCTTATTGAATTGGAAGTCTAAGTAGTGAAGTTGTTTCCATTTTAATTATAGTTTACATGGAGCTTCTTCAGATGCTGGTGGTAAAACAAACTATGTCACAGAATGTTCTGCCCTGATTTTTTTTTTTTTTTAGATTTTATTTCCTGTCCCTTTTTCCCATAGATCAACGGTGCTGTATGATTGCAGAAACCCACAAGATAACCATCGAGTGTGGAGGTTTAGCGGTCAGGTTGAGAGAGTAATTTGGAATCACTTTTCACCTTGTCATTTCTTAGTGAGTACATGCTTTTCTATTCTTGGGCTGTTTTAACCTGCATTTTTGTATTCATAATGTTTCTGAATCATAATGGAGCTGATGGACAGTCGTATGGTTTGTGCTGCTTATTATGAAAATGCTCCAGGGGAGGATGTTTTTAAGTAGTTTTTTCAACAGGCATATTTAGACCAGCTACTTATTTGGTATCTTCATTGTGACAGTAGAACAGCTATTGATGCTGCTGCTTTTGCACTCCAGAGGTGGCATCTTTGTCATGTTGTTACAGTGTTCAGTGGCTGGGATATATTTTTTGTTGCATAGTTGCTGTTGTGTTTCATGTAATGAGGCAAATGCAACTGAGAAGTAGCTAATTAGAACTAAGATCCTGAATGTTGGTTCAGTGTTTCAAGTCAGCGCTAGAGGGCACCGTCCTCCTGGCTGGTATGGAATGATCCACTTGTTCAGGTCACAAAAGACCTCTGAGATCAGGTCTAACCATTAACCCAGCACTGCCAAGTCCACCACTAAACCATGTCTGTAAGTGCCTCATCTACATGGCTTATTTAATTAGGGGTGGGGATTCCACCACTTACCTGGACAGCCTGTGCCAGTGCTTGACAACCCTTTCAGCAGGTTTTTCCTAATATCCAATCTAAACCTCCCCTGGTGCAACTTGAGGCCATTTTCTGTTATCCTATTGCTTGTTACCTGGGAGAAGAGACCAACCCCCACCTGGAGTATAAATAGCTTGGTTTTGTCAAGATTTTTACAATACAACTTTTCAACATAATTTAAAAACAAATCTTTATCATCTCGGTGGCTGTCTAGTTCTCTGTTGCTTTGTGTATACAGCCAGCAGAAATGGTTGCTTAGTTTTGTTGGGTTTATGATGTAGATCTCTCAGTATAATCACACTTAGCTTTGCACAGGACCACTGGATGGCTCCAAAAACTTTGAACTGACAGTGAAGAGACTAAAGGCTTTGTATTTCATTGCCCAACATGGGGGCCAAGCTTAGCAGGGCAACTGTCTTCAAAGTACCCTTCAAGAAATCTGTATATGATTAAGACTTCCATGTAATCCAGTGCAGCATAGTTTAGGTACGTAGAATGGCTTGGGCAGCAACTGGATGGAGCCTGACTTCAGAGGCTCAGGCCTGGGAACAGTGTAACATGCCCTACAGAGCAGTGTCTGCCTCAGGGATTTACTTGAGGGTGGGTATTATTTCATAGGAAGTTTTTTTCCAAATGAATGATGATGATTGTTTGTTTTTTTAAATGTTGTGGTTTTCTCAGGCAAGCACAGAGGATGGTTTTGTGTACTGTCTGGATGCTCGATCTGATAAGCCCCTGTTTACTCTGAAAGCCCATGATGAAGAGGTGTCAGGTAAACTGCCTGCATGTCCTGTTGGTCCCCAGTGGCAAAGCACATCTGGAAGATGCCTTTAACCTATAGGACTGAGGTGGTAGTGATTCCTTGTTTAACAATTAAGTCATGCATGCTAATCATGGTAGCTGGCATGTGAAGCAAATCTCTGCTGAGAAGCCATTGAAAGCACAGTATTTTAACAACAGTGAACTTTCCTCAGTGACTGTCATGAATAAGCATGTAAAAACAGACTAATTCACTTGGGACACACTCCTTGTGGGTTTTTTTTTTTTTTTGGATGAGGAAATACAAAAACGATAGAATCTGGTCTAGGATTATGAACTGTGTTTACCTCCTCTCTCTGTAATTATTTTATACTGACTCACTCTGAGGATGATTTAGGTATGGCACACGGGAAGGTTTTCACACTGCCTCCTTTAGGCTACTTTAATTTAGTCAGTGTAGGAGCTTCCAAAAAGGAACCTGAAGTCCCTGATCAGGTGTCTAAAATGAGATTGTATGAACATGCCCCATCATCTTGGACAGCAAGATGGTCTTTGGCAAATGAATGAAGAAGCTACCTGGGGAAGCAGATTATGTTAAGTAAGAAGTAGAACAAGCATGTCTTTGCAGTGTTATCGTTGTTGGATTGAGAGACAAAATAGGCCTACACGGTGCTTTTAATCTCACTACAGGGAGCAGGATGAAATTTTCATTAATGTTTTGCTCCTTTGTGCTGGAACAGAGTTTTGTGTGAGGATAATACTGAGGTTGTTCTCATGACTTCAAAATGTATCCTCATCTTTGTGAAACAGTGGTTCTCACATGGCTGCACTGTTAATCTTCCAGGGCTACAGCTAAGCAGTCAGGTTAAAGGGTGCCTTGTGACATCATCTGCTGACAAATACGTGAAAATCTGGGATATCCTGGGAGACAGACCAAGTTTAGTCCATTCCAGGGATATGAAAATGGTATAGTAATATTTATTTCTTGATTCCAGTAAGTTTTATATATAAACTACGTCTGCTTATTCTTTTTTTGTCTGGTTTGAATTTTGTTTTACCTAACATCTTTTAGGGGAAAAAACATCTGTATGTTCTGGATAAATCATTCTCATTCCAGTGCAGTATTCAACATGGAATTGGCAGACTGCTTCAAAGCCTCAGACCCAAATTCCAGATACAATGTTCTGAGTAGAACTATAGGTGCTCCAGCCTGCACCTGCCACATTCAAGACAAAGATGTGATTTACTGTTTATACTTAGCAGCTCTTGACTTTCATTTTGTGTCTTTACAAAAGAAGTTTCGGGAAACTTAAAGAGATTACGTTTGTTACAACTTGCTTGGTAGAAAGTATTTTCAGATGACAAATTCATTTTAGAAAGATATTTAAAAAAATAATCCTCTTCTTTCTTCCACCCTCCCAGGGTGTTCTCTTCTGTGCAGCTTGCTGCCCTGACTTCCCATTTGTTTTTGCCTTTGGAGGAGAGCGAGAAGGGCTGCGTGTTTGGGATATAAGCAAGATTTCTGCAGGTAATGTTCTCATTTCTTTGAATATTGTGGTTCTCCCCTTGCCTGCAGGATGTATTTGTATTCAGTAATGTATTGTGGCTCTGAGAGAAACTGTAGGTTAGTATTTTTACATACCCAATGACTGCCTATGGTGTTCACATTTTCAGCTTCAAAAAGTGTTGGTTTTTTTTTTTCTAAATTGGAGAACTGTTTGACATGATTTATTTTCTTGTAGCTGAAGCGTAACACCCGATTTCTTATATCTGTTTTATTTTTTTCTTAATGTTCCTGGTGTAATCAGGTACCACATTCTTTGAGTACTTGTGGGAATAAAAGTGAGGACTGGGTTGATCAGTTGTTGTAGCTACATGTAACTAAATGGCATGAATTTTTGGAGAAGGCTTTTAAGAGCTTGGTGGAAACCCAGAGAGACTAAAGCCAGAAATAAATTATTTAAACTTAATGTTGTGCTCTTCAAACCTCATCCATTTCACAGTACTTGAGTACAGAATTATGCAGAGGGAAACCTCTAGATGCTCTGGGGGGAAAATAACAGGAATTGTAATTAAAGTATCATATGCAGATGATTTTTCTGACATGTAACCTTCAAGTCTCTACTTGGGGCAAGGGGAAAAGCTTTGAAACTGCATCAGGTTAGGATTTCCATTCCATTCCATGGTGTTCACCATGCTATACTTGCTGTAGTCATCTTGAGTACTCATCAGAGTAACATGTAAGCAATCCCCTGTCTGTATTGCAGTGAATGAAGTTTTTGGAAACAGAGAGAGACTGGTTCTGGCTAGTGCCAACTCCATGGCTTCCAGCTCCACAGCCAGCAGAAGCAGCAACGACTTGGAGACAGCAATGGAATCATGATGGACCAAACATCAAAAAATAGGACTAATTAACGGGACTATGACTAATGTGTATTCTGCAAATCCCCCTGTTAGGTGAGAGCTCATGGAAATGACTCTAGTGTCTTGCATTCTGCAGGCTTCTTCATCTCAGACAAAGAAACATGGTGGTGTGGTTAAGCTCTTAAGGTCCTGCCTCTGTTACCGGCTTTGAAAGATTAAATCACTTGCTTTTGCCTGAGATAATGATCCCTGAAACAGGGGCTACCATGTGTAAAGCTGACATATAAAATGAAACAGTCACTAGAAAAGCATTCTGGCTACCAGAAGTTTGTTAAATACTGCAAAGGTTTTGATCTTCTACCTTCTAAGGGTACAAGAAAAAATACTTCACCCAACAGTTGTGTAATAAATAAACAAAAGCTGAATTAAATGACAAGTGTAAATAGATAATTTATCCTTGAGGCTAGGTTTACAGATTTCTAATACAGATTTTAAAATATCTTCTATGTATCTTTTTAAATCTCCAGAGTAGTTCTCAGGTAATAAAATGGCATCCCCAGTAGAATCTTGAAATGTATTTCTAACATTCAGCTCACCAGTACCAAACCAGAAATATCCCAGCTCCATCCATCAAGATTGGGTGTTTCTTTTCCCCAGTTCCACAGCACCTGAAGCTGACTGATGCTGCAAGGTATTGAGTTTTTCTTCAAGCTCCAACTGTAATATATTTTAAGAGAATTTGAACTGAAAGAAGGAGCTGCTAGTTGGAAAGGATGAGAAGCTGTCAGGACACAAAAAAACGAGGGCTGGGATCTCAGCAGGTCCCTGTCTCTGGTGAAAGCTCTGTGTTATGTACTCATGTTCATCACCCCACCCAGGTGTTTCTGCCCAACACCTGAAGGCACAGGAACGTTTTGAGTATCAGTTGAGCCACCAACTTAAGATCTTTGTTTCCAGCATCAGGAACCTAATCAAGGATTGTGACTCCAACAATTTCCTCGCATTTAAAATGGAGCACCCGAGTGCCTTACCCCAGACCAAGAAGTTAAATGATACTCTTACCCTCCTGTGAAGTGCTTCCCACACTGAAGGTGTCTGCAAAATGCCCTGGGTATTAAAGCCACTGGTGTCAAAGCAGCTGCACTGTCACGGCTCCCCACTGCTTTCCACCCTAAGCACTGTAACTCACTCTGGTGAGGTAAAGCAAGTAAATTGTAACACTACAAACTGCAGATGGGAAAAAGGCTGGGGAAAAGGGTTAGATCTTTCCTTCCTATCCCTCAAGGGTAAGTGGCTGCTTCTAAATCCACTTCAGCTGTTTCTAGTCTGATGACAGGTGTTCACCATGGCTCTGCAGGAATACTCTGGATGGGTTGGAATTCCTGCCTCCCTCCTGTCTCTGCCAAGCAGTACTGAGAACCACTTCTGTTCAAGTGCTCTCCAGTGAAAAGCTTAAAGTTTTTTAAAGCTTTAATTTGAAATAAATGCTTTGTGTTAAGCTCTTTGAGGGTAGTGACTTCTCTTATACCTCTAGTATTATAATTGGCACTGCAGCTCTAGAAGTTGCTTTGTGTTTCAGGAAGAAATTGCATTACTGAAAGCAACACATCTTTCCCTTGACGTAACAAAATCTCACAACTTGTCTCTCTGGAGCTTTTTAGTCACATACTGATCTGAGGGCAAGCATTTTCAGGTTTGAAGAACCCTGGGAGCTCTCAAGGAAATACAGGGGACAGAGAAAGGTACAGCTGAGCTTGGGCCGTTTAGGGCAAGAAGCAGAGCCTCTTTCACAAGGAAACCTCCAATTACCTTGTCAAGAGCACAGAACTCAGATGACTCTTCTTTTGCAGCACAGCCAGAGGAGTGACACAGGAAATCTACAGAGTTTAAAGACCAGTTCTTCAGCTGCACCTATTCATGGAGGTGCTCCTACCTCTTCATGTCCCAGGAAAGCTTGTGAGAGGCAGATGATTAAAAAGTGTTGTTATTTCTCTTAGCATATTTATAGAAATAGGAACCTTTTTTTCAGAATATGTAAATATTAAAAAAAAGAACATTTGAGAAGAGCCACATTTTTAATTATTTCAAAAGAAAACAACCAAATGTAATAATCTTCATTCCATAAATAATATTAGCAGCAAACCCTCCCATCATTCTAGGTGGTAAAAGGTTTACAGCACAAGGAGTAATATATACTGTAAACACTGCCTGATCATCTGTAAGCCTCGTCCTTACTGAGTCTATACAGTCTTTATCCCTTCACCTGCTTACATGTTCTAGTGAACTCGAGGGAGAGGAGGCAATAACTGATTCTCTGTAGTGGGGTAATGGCATTGTTTGCAAGGGCTGATTTCACTGGCCTTTCCTTTTATTTTTAAACCGAAGTGTTTTGTTTTAAGAAGGAAACCTGAGCATTATTAAGTCTTTGCTTTGTGCCAAATCACATCCTCCAGTTAAGAAGTTTTAAAAAAACAAAATACATTTTTTGTTTGTTTCTCTTCATGTCATGGCTTGGGCAGTTAAGGACAGCTGGCTTACAGTTCACTGCAATCACTCAACTACATTTCTGGGTTGTGGCTTTTTGCTTAAAGGGCTATGCAAGGTGTGACGTGTCCCAACACTGGATGGATTAATCTGAGTGATTTGGAAAAGAAGTATGCACAGCATGTGTGAAAAAATCTCCTTGCCTCACATTTCCTTCTTAGCAACTCTTCATTTGTGCAGGCATGATCCAGTCTCAGTCAGTGTTTTGGCTACAGAGTATATTAAGTGGTGGTAGTGTGGAGACCAAAACAGAAGGAAAACTCCTCACCTGACATACATTGTTGATTGGGGAAACAAGGAAGAGGGTTTTTTCCTTCACTACTTATCCAAGAAAATGTCCCTCTCTTCTTCATTTGTGTCCAGAGAGGGCATCACCTGTTGAATAGACTCCATTGTTAATCCTACAGTCTTCAGTCCTCATAGAGTCTATTAATTCTTCCTCTGAATCCTCCTCCTCTTCTTCGTCTGGGGCTGACAAGCTGGATGTGGGGCCTTTACATATTTTTAGGTGGCGAGTGAGGTGATATTTGGTTAAATAAGCCTTGGAACATTTTTCACAGACATAGTCCCTCTTTCCTTCATGTGAATTGAGATGCTTCTTCAGGTGATTTGTCCTCAGAAACAGCTTGTCACACTTGGGGCACTTGATCTGCCGTTCTCTGCAAGACATAAAAAAGTGAGTTTGCTCCTGCAAGGCAGCTGATATAGTATTAAAATACTGGTTAAGGCACATGTTTTGGCAAGAGCAGAGATGTTGCCCTGATGGAAAGGTCAGTCTCACTCCTTCCCACCCTTCGTAAATGGGGAGCAGGGGGCACAGGGAAGAAATAAGACAACAAAGTTGCTGAGTGTTAACAATCCTCAGCCATAAATGCTAAGCTTGAGGACCTTACTAGACTGCAACAAATTCTGCAGATGACAGTGCAAAACACCTCCCAGCAGTAGTGCTCCTGGCTCAGGCTGTAGGAACAAGCAGCCAGGCAAGTCTGTCTGCCTCTCTCACTCATGCTCACTACAATACACTGTCTCCTAGGCAGCATGACAGAAGCAGCAATAGATTCCAAGTGAGTACAAGAACCAGATGCTAAAAATGAAATAAGCAAAGGAACTAGCTTTGGGGAAGTAAGTTTTTAAGACTAGGCTTTTCTTTTTTTTTTTTTTTTTGATTGGGAGTAAATATACAGGATGGAGAGATTCTCAGAGCAAAAGACCTGGCCTGGCACAGGACTGTGGGTAGGGATCTGCCTACAGGAGGAGGAGGAGACCAAGTGCTTGAGTGAGACCTGCAGGGAAGACAGGGCTGGGAATTGCAGCACCCCATCCCTAGTGCATAGAGGCAGAGTTCACTAACAAGCTACTTGACAAGAATAGCAGTGAGGAGGTTATGGTCTTTCTGTGGTCATGTTGGGATGTGTAAGCAGTTCTCAGCAGAGAATGAAGTGTAAGTCAAACAACCCCTTCTCTGTTCAAAATGATGAACACTTCAGACAGCCATTTCACAAGACAAGTAGCATGCCTGGAATTTACTGTGTCATTAAAACATTGCAAACACTAGAACTCGACAACTGCAGCCAGTACAACAAGGACTTTGTCCAGACTGACTTCTCTGTCATTTTAGAGAGTGAACCGATCTGTACTCCCTAGGCCAAGCTATTTGCAAACTGGAGCTTCTCTCTTGGGCTGTTCAGCTTCATTTACTGCACTCACCCTGTGAGATCACTTACTGCGTGTGAGTGAGTACGTGCTGCTTGAGGTCCTGCCTCCGCATGAACAGCTTCTCGCAGTAATCGCACTTGAGGTTCTTCTCCCCGGTGTGGATGACCATGTGCGATTCCAGGTGGGCCTTCTGGGTGAACGACTTGTCACAAAGGGTACAGCGGTAGTTCTTCTGACCTGGGGTTACACACATACACCCACAAGCTGACAGTCAGTGTCCCAAGAAATACAGGAAACAAACAAACCTAACCACTGCTGAAAAATAAAATGTTACCCTGAAGAAAGGCACTTTCTTTGTGAAGAGGACCTGTTTCCTCCTGCAGTTCCTTCAGACTCAGCATAAAGGCCTACTTAGTTCTACAGTCTAGATCTAGCTATGGAAATAACAGGCATTTGATTTCAACATTACCAAAGCTTTTCAATCCCCCATGCCTCCAAGCCAAAAAAACTTCATGATACTGTTTCAAACCACCGAGCCCCTTGTGTGATGCACGTTTCTGCACTTTGTCCTTCTAAACACCATTGATTCCTCTTCCTCCACTGCTCATGGTCAGTCAGTCTTTCCTGTGCAATCAGCTTTCTGCTTCTTCCACACCAACTGTGCCTCCCTGTTCTGTACATCAGAATAGCCCCAGCAGGTCTGTAAATTTTTCAGTGAAGAAATTCAGGCAAACACTTAACAGGACTAGTCTTATCCAAGATGAATTCTTCAGTAAAAACAATGTTAGCTTCTTTTGTAATAGTAACCATGGTAACCATCTAGTTACTGTACATTAGTACATCCCCATCTCCACATCCCATTTCCCACAGGAACCGTATCTGATGCCTTACCAGAGCCCAGCCACATTTGAAGCACTGCATTGCCTTTGTCTACAAAAACAAGTTCTCTTATCTAACAAACACACAGGTACAAAGCTCACTGGCCCTTTGATAACTTCTATGTTTTATCCCATTTTTGCACTTATCTGTAGTTCTTCCACTATTCTTTGTCAGAAATAGTTCAAAAGCCCTGCATGCTACTGAATTCAGACTGAGTTTGAATACCATTTGAATCCCACTCCACTGAGTGTTCTGAGGTTGTGTATATCACATTTGTAGTTGATCAGTTTATTAAAACTCCTGACTACTGAGCCTACAGCTTCCTATGCTTGACTTGAGGCACCAAACCCCCAGTTTTATTCCTTTTCCAGTTCAGTGACTTGCATTCTTTGATTCCCAATAGGCAAAAATATCCAACCGTCAATTGCTGGCCTGTAACCTGACCTTCACCCTCTCCCCTGTCCTCCCTCAGTGTTAAATCCATGCCTTTTCATATTTCCTCTCTTCTTACACAGCTGAAAAATCTCTATTTTGTTTTCCTCTGTTAGTGCTCATTCCCTGATCTGCTGGCAATTCCCCCTTTATCCCCAAAGTCTCTAGTGATACCCCAATGCCCACAGAAGTCAACAGCATGTTCAGACTTTACTTTTAATGAGTGACACCGCTGAGCCTAATCCATAACAGTCTGATGCTACAGTTGCCAATTTCAGTTTTGTGCCATTTCCTTAAGACAAAAAACAATTCAAGTAGGAAAGATCTCAGGCCTGTATTTAAGTGGACAACTGGCCACATTAATAGCTCTCAAACCTGGTGTCCTTCTTGCAAGCAGAAGGGAATCCTTGTTTTATCACAGCTACCAGCACTGGACCTGCTGTGTGGGAACAAAGGTTTTCTGTCTCCCAGATGAAGGCCAATTAGATGCAATCATCAAATGTTTTTAGACATGGCACAATCAACCAAATCACAGGTCTACATACTTTTCTATAAGCACCCACACCACTGAATCCAGCTCACTCCTATCCCACCCAACCGGCACTCTCTCAGGCACTGCTCAGGCATTAAGTAGGGTCAACATGGACTGGAGATCATTCCTGTAGACAGACATGAATCTAAGAATCCATTCTTAGAAAGGCAGGTTGAGGGAGGCGATTCTCCTCCTCTTATCTGCTCTTCTGAGACTCCACCTGGAGTATTGCATCCAGTTCTAAGGTCCCCAGTACAAGAAAGACATGGGGATGTTAGGGCAGGTCTGAAGGAGGGCCATGAATATAGTCAGAGGGCTGAAGCACCTCTTCTGTGAAAACAGGCTGAGAGTTGGGGCTGTTTAGCCTGCAGAAGAGAAGGTTCCAGGGAGACCTTATTGCAGCCTTTCAGTACTTAAAGGGGGATTTCAAGAAAGAGAGACTTTTTACCAAGGCCTGGAGTAACAAGGGCAAGGAGCAATGCTTTTAAACTGAAAGAAAACAGATTTAAATTGGACATAAAGAAGACTTTTTTTTTTTACAATGGGGGTGGTGAGGCACTGGAACAGGTTGCCCAGAGAAGTTGCAGATGCCCCACCATTGGAACTGTTCGAGGGTAGGCTGGATGAGGCTCGGAGTGACTGATCTAGCAGAAGATGTCCCTGTCCATGGTGGGGGGTTTTGGAGTATTATTTTTAAAGGTCCCTTTCAATCCAAAATATTCTATGATTCTGTGTTTCCAAGAGCTTATATTTACGGACGCAAGCTCTGCTCTGCCAACTGGCCATGGAATCAGAGAAAACAGACCCTGCCCCAATGATTTCCTAGCAGAGGCATCTCTATAAAGCCCCCAACCCTCACCTGTGTGTATCTTGAGGTGTGTCCGTAAGTTGCTGGGATCACTGAAAGCTTTGCTACAGAAATCGCACTTGTGCGGCTTCATGCCCATGTGCCCCATGAAGTGGACATGGAGCTTGGAAGGGGAGATGAAAGCCTGGGGGCACATGGAGCACTTCCACTTCCTTTCCTTTCCGTGGCCTGGCCCATGGTTGCTGCTGTGCCCCTGACTGGGGAGGTGGTTGTGAATATGGCTGCTCAAATGGGCCTTGAAGTCCACATAGGAAGCGCATTCCTTTCCACAGTGGCAGATGTGCACGTCTGGATGTTCAGGGACACCTGTGAGCACAAAAGCATCACTTTTAATGAGGCACGGTAAGGGTTAACAGCATGAGCAAGATCCATGTAAACACTTTGTCTGTGGTAACAAAGCCAGCTGCAGAGATTTTTTTTACCTTTGTTCCTTTCAGCTACAGAGCTTGCTTTTCAACACTTTTAGGTAGGTCATTTCAAATGTTTTGAGGGGCCAAACTTTGAATCAGTTTTGAGCACAGCTCTACCAAATCAAAATTATCACAACCACAGGTGAGGGAGGATAGGAACATCTTCAGCTAGCAAAACTCCCTTAGCATCCCTTAGTGGACAAACAGAAGAAAAACAACGCTCTTTCTTCAAAACTGTGATCTTTTACTCCTGATCAGTGGAATTAGATAGGGGAATGTTTCTTTTAAAAGATGGTACTCTGTAGTCATGAAATGTAAAAGGAAACTATGACATGCACCAATAGAAATTGAGAAGGAACATAATGCACTCCCAAGTCACAGCGCCCAGGGATGGCACTAAAAGGGAATTCAAGGTGGGTACTCCCTGCAAAGCCAACAAAAATGAGTGCTTACTTACCAAGCTGTCGTGCATAGTCCCGACTGTAATAAAAGAGAAGCTCATGTTCAGGTGGGATGTCCCGAGAGGTGCAGAAGTAAATTTTTCCATCGTGAGGATAAGCTACCAGATTCTGCTCTTCCCGGTTCCTATAGCAATAACAAGAGGTATGAATAAAAGCCCTCCAGAAGTATTGACTTTTTGAGAGAGAAAAGATGGAGATTCCTATAAATAGGTAGTGAGAGAACCTCAGTGCTTCTCGGCACATTATGAAAACTTTCATGTCTGTCACTTCTGTCCTTCTTTATTAAAGGAAAGGAAAACTAAACCTTGAGAGCCAATCTGCTCCACCAAATGATGCATTTTTCACACTACTGCTGAGAATATTATTAATACACATTGGAGTGGGCTGAGAGAAGAGAGTTTATGATCTCCTAAGAAACTACAGAAATCTATGTATTTTTCATATTAACTCCCTCAAGAAATAGAGAATGCATGAGGGAGAAAATATCAGTAACGCCTTAAAGCAAAATTATCTTAAAAAAAATCCTCTTGATTTCCATTTCCAAGATGTGGTCATTGATCTTTTGAAGCAGTATCTTGCATATGTTTGTTCCCAGTGTTTGAAACCAGCAAACTGCCCCACTGCAGTGGGAGATCAAGCATTACATTTCTTGACTCTTGCATATGGGAGCAGTGAAGTGAACTCTAGGAGAAACCTACTTTGTGTCACAGAGCAAAGCCTTCTCAGTGGACTATGGATGGAGCAATACTTAAGCCAGTCCAGACAGTTTTCACTGCAGGCTCTGGAAAGACTGAAAAGGACAGTTTTTGCAAGCTGTAAGAGCTTGGAACTTGGCCAAAAGAACTCAGGTACACTTTGCTAATAAAGTATTAAAATCAAAAGGACAATCAACATCACCTTCACAGACATATCCAAAAGGAACAGGGAGGGAAAGCAGTAACAACCTAATACACAGTAAGTTACTATAAAAAGAACCTGGTTTAAAGCTTTAGAACAAGGGAAACAAAGTATGGGGGCAAGTCTGGGGCTATTTTAGGACAGCTTGTGTACCAGTCCTCCTGTAACATTCTCCACTGTGTCTACTGTTTCATTCTCCCCACCAGTTCAAGATGCCCAGGTAACTCTTGAAGGTCCCTTGGCCCCGAGCTCACCCCCCTCTGGGCAGGCAGTGCAGCAGTGCACACTCTCCAGTACACCCCGAGATCAGCTCAGGTGGTTAGAGCGTGGTGCTAATATTGCCAAGGTCTGGGTTTGATCCCCCTATGGACCACTCACTTAAGAGTTGGACTCGATGATTCTTGTGGGTTCCTTCCCACTCAGAATATTCTGTGATCCTTATCTTTCTCTTTTCTGTACAGCCTTCTATGAGCCTGCAGCTCAAGACTCAAAGCTACTTAGCACAGTACAGGTGGTTCTCACCTGGCTTTGCGTACGAACATCATCCAGTTACATTCATTTTCATCAGTTGTAATGAGGCAGAACTCCAGGACACCATTGTGATAGATCTATCAGGAAAACAAATGCAATCTTAGGATAAAGTACAGCAATAAATGCAGTCAAAGCCAGCTTCTTTAAGAGAGGATGTGTTTACCTAGAACAAGCTGAGAAGTCTCCATTGCCATTGCCAAGACCACAGCCCTGTTTTTACTCCTTATTTTCCTCTTCACACGGCAATCTTGACTTCTCTGCTACCCGGGAGGCCAGAAAACCTGTTTATCAGCATCCTTCCCATACATCACCTTTAGCTCCCACCAGAAATGCATTTGACTGCTTTTCTTACAAACCAAGTTTTGTGAATAATAATATCTGGGCAAACAGTACATGTTTTATTTATATAAATCAAGTTTATTTTCTGAACATGAAACGATGGGGAAAAGAAAGCTTTAAAGCATCTTTCCTAAACAAATCATTCATCACCTAGGGGAACTTTCAATAAACAGTGATACGAAACAAACAAGTGCTGCCTAGTGAATCATATACAATCTCTGCTGCAACTCCACACAAACAGTGGAAACCACATATAGCCCTATAAAAGAAAAGGCATTAAAGAAGATTTTTGTACTTCAGAATTGATTACCAGCATATTACATGGTATACAGCTCTGTTATGCTGATATTAAGCATTAAACAATCAAATTGCTTTACTTTTGACTTTTGGCAAGGATGATAACGTTGAAGTTGCTGTGTCATGTGGCAAGTTTCACCAGATAAAGGCATGTTGGCAGATCTACGAGCCAGAACACCCACTGACCTTCCAGATGTGACTGGCTGCTTTGTCTGTCCAGTCGGCCACCTCCAGAGAATGGCTCTGCTGTCCGATCAAAGGTCCAAAACAAGTCCGCACAGGAATGGTTTCTCGTGTCCACACACCTATCAGGAGAAGACCCAAATCTGAAGAACTCAATGGTTTAAACAACTAATCATGCATAATAAAGAAGTGGGAGGTTTATGAGATAATGCTCCAGGGATAATATCTAGGCATAAGATCATCAAAGCTTCTACTTCACATGTGAAACACACCTAAGGCGGAGACAAGAACCACCACCACCACATGACACTACTGGGAGCCGCTTTGTTCTAATTATAAATATTTATTTTGTCAGAAGCAAGTAATTTACTTTTCAGTAAGCTATAAAACTAACATCCTAGCCACTTGTACCAATTAAAGTTTTCATGGCACTTTCTGCAGAAGCAGAAAATACTAGTTTCAGTAACTACATTTTGCCTACCTAATCCCCAGGAATTTCCAGAATTGTTGCTGGGCATTGTTAAGCAGCTTCTGCATTTCTCCCCAGAGGCAGCTGTATTTCTGTCATGGGCAGAGGGATTCCTGCATGTATATTATTTATTATTAAACATTTATATATATTGGTCTACATGAATACACTGAGTAGCTTTTAGGAATAAACTGGAAACTAGTGCAGCTTGAAAAGAACAGATGTAATCTACTCTCAACAAGCAGCATCACTAAGCAAGCCAATAATCACATTCTTCTCTAGCCTTCAGATCCTTAGGGTATTGCATTGTACTCTTCGATTTCCAGGTGACAATGGCGTGAAATACAGTAACAAGGTCCACATCCAGTGACAAGGTCACAGCCTACATGCCAAATGTAAATGAAGGGAGGGAAAGAAATAGAGGCACTTATGATCAATACTCCAATGACAGTGCAGAAGTCCAGAAGACTCACAGGTAGCAAACCAAGCTGATGAACGAGCAGACAGAAATCTCCTCTATTATTTCTAATTGTTGCCTTCTCCCAAACTGCAACCGCTGCAATGTTTTCTTATCAAAGCTGTGCCTGAGTTGTCCAACACGATAAAAATAAACACCATATCTTGCTTGTGCTTGACCTTACGATGTGCCACACTATGGCAACAGCCCTACAGTATAGTTGAAGTCTATGCAGTAACCAGAGCACAAGAAGTTCTTGGATAATGTAAGTCAGGGTGATTACGGATGAGGGAAGCACCTCTCTACTCCAGTGTTTCTTTCCCACATTAACATCCCCATGGTTTTGGATTTCAGGCAGTGAGTGTATTTTAAACTGCTGCAGAGAAACACACAGTAACATGATTCTTACCCGCCTCAGCTCCCATGATAGACTGCCGGAGGACGAGCTGCTTAGGGAGAGAAAGCCGGGCTCGGCTCTCTATCGGGGTGTCAGGGACAAAGGTGACGGGCCCGTGGTCTGGGCAGTCCGACGGATACGCCTTGTCACACAGTGTGCACCCTGCGCAGAGGGAAAAGGACAACAGGGATTAAAAAGATGCAACAGCTCCCATGCTCTTGGGAGCAATCAGCTCTCTACCAATATGCTTCAGCTCAGTTCCTGACAAAGTCTGGTTCTATCAGGTTCAACTTGTCCACTAAATATGTTTTACTCAGAAGAATACAGACCATATTATTACAGTCAGATGGGCACTGACATAGATGTCACTGTTCCTGTCCAATTCAGATCAAATGTGAGAATCTCCACCTACCTTCCTAGACTCCAGAGTATCCCTGCAGGGGAATCTAGCAATGGGACAGAGTCCACACTTCATCAACCTTACTGCAAAATGGATAGTAGTCTCCCCAGAGCTGGCAGCAACGCTGATGATGTGAGAGCCATTTTCACTCTGATCACAAGTGAAATGAACTTTATTGGCAGAAAAATCTATGACATACCTAACCAAACACTTTCTAACTGGATACATTTTTGGAATCTACCAGAAACACTTCTTGCATGTAGCACCTCAAGGATATCTGTGCAAGGGGATAGAAAGGTCTTCTTTCTAAAATGTTTCTAATTTGAACCCAGATATCCCCTTACCTCCATTTGAATTCAGATTCAAATTTAAATCTTCACAGCAGCAAAAACCTCACTTTACTGTTACTTTTGAAGGACTCACTGCAATAAACTCATACAGTATGAGTATGTCACTGAATGGAACAAAAACAAAAACCCAAGAAGAATCAGTACCATCGCTTTCCCAATCTGTCATTCAGCAGAAGTACTGCTGAAAAAGAAACCACTGAAAGTCTTCAGTCTAATAACTCTGAGAAAAGGTACATCATAAAATGCTCTCTACAGCATTATTATTTCATCTAGAAAAACTATGTAATTTTAATTCTCTACAGATGGAGCAACCAACACCTACTCAGCAACCACTCTCCAGATGAATCACTATTCTGAAGAAGAGAGATGCTCAGCTAACTAATCAGGATCTCCACAAAGACCTTCTTTGGCCTGTTGATGACCCAACTCCATTATAAAAGACCTATTGCAGAACTAGTCTTCAGCAGGCCTAAACAGCAGCTCCATTCTTACATGTTTAAAGATAATTTTCAGACATTCCCTTCATACATCAGAGTACCAGAATCGGACCCCCAAAAAGTACAGTTTGAGCAACTACACAGTTACAGATAGCAAGGTATTCAAAAAATGATTAGGTAGAGCCTATATAAGCATTGCTTCATGTGCACAGGTGATATGCAGGAGTAAAGCAATGACAACAGCCAGACCTGAGTATGAGAACCACTATCTGGAACAGCTGCTTTTAAGCACTGCCTAGCACGCACCAACTACAGCTCCAAGGAGAGGCAGAGGAAGAAAAGTTCTAGGCATGAGACACTTCCATTTGGAAAGGTTCAGGGATTCATATATTTTTAAGAAGTTGAAAAAAAAAATCTCACATTCTACAGAAAGTCAAATACACTTTCCATGCCTGTCCTTTCCAAATAATGCCAAAAAAACCCAAACAAACAAAAAAACCCAGTCATTACTTCACTGATTTGGATACCCAGAACTGTCAACAAAGATGACCATAAAAGGGGTTACTTAGAAGTTTCACAAACATTCAAGACTGTAGCAAAGGCACACTTCTTATTTCCTGCTTAAGAACAGTGTAAAAAGTTTTCTGAAAAAGGCCCTGACTCCTGTCTTCTCAGTGAGGAAAAACCACCAAGGGGCTCTAAACCAACTCCTTGTCCTTGCTGTCACCTGTCTGGACACAAATTCATGTTTTATTCACGAGAAGTTTAAAAACAACAATACAAAGTTAAAATTTAAACCTTCCCAAGTCAAGAATCTGTTTTGCAAATCACATGAAAGCACTAGGCATGCAACAGCCATTTTATTATCCTACCAAAGGGGAGCATCATCTGGGAAACAGCTTAGGACTATGTTAAGTATAGCAACAATAAACTGGCACTTCCAATCCCACTTTGAATAAGAGAAGTGATTTCACCACAAGCATGTTGGATTCCACAGTATTTTGATCATTATTTGCTCAACACGCAACAGATGCCTTTAGGAACTTCTGAGTGCATTAACTGCAAAACTCTTCCTTTAGGAGTGGTAAATTCATCACAGTTCTATGCCCACCTGATTTTAAGTTATATTTTATCCCACAGAACAAAAAGTTTAATTCAATTGTCTGACTAGACACTTTGCACCAAACTGCACCTCTCCCAGTTCTAACCAAGGCGCTCTGTCTTCCAATTTCTTAAAGTATGTTCTGCAGGCAAAGCTAACCATAAGGTCCTGGCAGTTGTAGGGCCAGGCTGCATGAAGAGCAGCCCTCAGCAATGCTACCACAGCTAATAAAAATGATTATAAAAGCTGACCTTATGCTTTAGAGATGAGAATCCAGACATGCTGCAGGTCAAAGTTCAAATCTCTGTCCCAGCAAATGAGAACTTCACAGTTCTCAAACACCACTCCTTGAATGATAACAGGATTGAGAGTGCAATACTCAGTGCTCCTCTCTCCCTATGAGATCAACTAACCTCTGGACTAAAGTGCTTTGATGAGAATAATTAGAAATATTAAAATGTTCCTTCCCTCTTTGCTCTTTTTTTCCAGCAGGTCCTGTTGAGAATAACATTTTCATGTTGATTGCTCATGTTTTAATAAAAATTTTGCAAAATCACACAATGTCATACTCAACAATTATACCCACTTGACTGAATGTATGGCTTGTGGTGGTATTTGTTGTGTATTTTTCATGCACTTGTGATGTGACTTTAAAAACAAAAAACTCTCATTTCAAACTATAATATTTGCATATCCACAGAAGGCAAGAGGTTCATAAAGACTCAGCTTTCAACCTCAAGGCAACATGGGAGATGGATACAAAGAGAATTATGCTAAAACATCCTACTATGTCTACTTCCAAATATTGTCATTTCAGCACAGTTAATCTGGCACTGCAGATGTTCCAACTTTCGTGGACTTGTTAAACAGCATTTCTTTTACCATTAATCTGTAAGACTAGCAACAAGAGTCCTGTCATCCCACTCGACAATAGCTGCATGACAAACCCTACCCCAAGAAAGCAGGAAATGTCCACTCACATATGGTAAACAAGGTTGCCATATTCTCCTTGTTGGAATTGGAGTCTTCCATTTGCAGAGAGGGTGGTACAAAGGCAAGATTGTCTGCAGACACATCCACATGACTTGGCCCCATGGCTACTTCCTGATTGATGGAAGACACCGCCACTGGCTCGAGGCTGAGGCCCACTTCATGCAAGGCTACTGAGTCCAGGGAAGCGAGGTTGTGTGAGGTAGAGAGCGCCACACTCACGGAGTTGGTGCTCATGGCCACAGTATGAATGGAGTCATTTAGTGTGCTGTCCGATATCCCTGTCACTCGCCCGGCAATGTGGTCGGGCTCCATGACGACAGGGAGTTCCAAAGTGCTACCGTGAATGGGAATGACACCGCCGTGTCCCACAGCGTCCGATGTCAAGTTACTCCCCACTGTGTCTACGGATAAAGGTTCATGGCTCCGGGAGCCATTTGGGATCTGTGAATGATCCCCGGCTACATCATCCATCGTGAGCTCCTCTGTCATCCCATCTGTGGAGATAGGGCTGGTTACCCTCGAAACGCTCTCCATGGTGATTGTAGTATCCAGTGCTACCTCATGGCTGTCACTAGGATGCAGATTTTGAGGACCATGAGTGTTCACTGTGCGGGAGTCCATGGAGACAATCCCTGGTTCCAGCCCCACGGTTCCACTGGGCTGGTAGGGATCTAGGGCCGATGGATTGTTGGAGACTGACAATGCTGGATTGCTGTCAACATTTATAGTGTTGGGATGGATGTACTGAGGTGGTGGTCTGTCCGCCAAGTACGATAAGATACCTGATAGGAAGAGAGGGAGAAAAAGAAGACAGTGAGGTTACATCAGTTTTCAAATCTCGAACAAAAATCAATCCCAGCAGAGTACATTGAGACCCAGATCCCTGAAGACGTTCGCTACATTATCTCCAATTAAAATCCATTACATCTAAAACATGCCTCACAAACATACATGAACCCAACACTCTTGTCAAAATATCATTTGACAGCAAATTCAACAGAGCAAGTCTCTAGTTATTTCTCAAACTCTGAACAGCCAAGTTTTTGGCAGAATGCAACCTTGGCTCCTCAGCACAAAGACTCAATCAGAAAGGGGTTCTTCACATTTTAGGCTTAATTTTTCATTCTCAAGAACTAGCTCACAAAGGATGAAGGACTGCTAGAGGAATCTATAATTTGATAACTCTGGTTCATCTTCACTAGAAGAAAAAACAATTCTCCAGAATACATCATTTTTGCTTAGGTATTTAAGTTTTAACAATGACTACTTCCTTCCTCTAAGACTAAGTGGCACAACTGTCCACCTCAGAGATCATCAATTGCAGTTCTGAAGGACACAGATAAGGTCTCTCACAGATATCATGACTCATCTGCTCTCTTTCCTTACATGAAAAATACGTTGTTTCTCCTAAAACAATAGCTTGGTTAAATTTAAATCAGAAACCCTAACATCTTTTCTGGTAGTTATGGAAAGTCTCTCAAAAAAATCAAACAACCTTCAAACTTACGATATGAAGAAACACCTGTATTTACACACTAAAACAAAAAAAAATCTTTGGAAGAAATACATCTGCACATTCAAGTAAACAGTATTTTCAGCAGAGAGAGGGGCAGATTTTCCAGATTCTGGAAGATCTGAGTCAGCATGTTTCTTTTTTGGCCTTCAACCCTATGAGCCATTTGATCTGGAAGTGTGTTCCATTCAAATATGTCTGTTATTACAAGGATGCAAACACGGATATTCTTTCTGCAGCATAACCCCATTAAAAATGACTAAGCCAAGAAATGGACAGTTTAATTTAATCAGCTGGATCAAATATTCTGCATGCAATGCTGCCTTGTGGCTTGAACAAGGAGGAGCCCTGAAAGCAGCAAGATGACTCATGGAAGAGCCCTGCGAAACATCAGACTAAACATCACAGGAACTAGAAAGATTATTCCAGCTCAGAAGAATGGCAAATACTTTTGGTCCTAATGCACTCTCTTCATGTACTCTTTGCTCACTAAACAGGCAGGCAGGTTATGCAGTAGGAAAGGTTACTCCTAAGCAGCTGGAAAATTCAGCCATTAGTCAACAGGAAGCTGGATGAGATCTGGGCTGCTATAGCTTTTTTCCCTAACCTAGGTTGAACCAACAACACCCACTGGGTCACCCTGAAGAAGTTTAACTACCCTTCCACCCTGCCAATCAGCTACAAAACAAAACAAGGACTATATTTAAAGCTCTGATTTCTGTGTGTTCACATACCAACATGTTAAATTCTACATTTATATCTAAAGCACACATGAGAGAGGAATCAAGATACAAGTCAGTATGTTAGGCTTTTGGAAATCAACCTTGAACAACAACAAAGAAAAAATGTGCCATGGGCTAAACAGGTGGGAAAGAGCCCAAACTCCTCAGCTGATGGTTTGCCCTTTTTGAGCTTTGAACTGTTGTGACCTACCGTTATGCACATATTAAGTACTGCTTCAGCCTATAGGAGAAGAAAAATAGAAGCAGCTTTCAAACTGTAAGACACTGGAGACAGAACCCAGGCATGCTTTGTTTTCTGTTAATCTTAAAACCAAAGCAGGAGTAGCAATCAAAGGTTTGGTTTAAATAGAAAATGCCCTGCAATTCTCTTCATTCACAAGTACAGCAATAGATACCTGAAAATAAAGGTGTGTAAATGACACAACAGCCTCCAGACAAAGGCATGGAAATAACAGCTCTGCAAAACAGTCAGTCTTGCCTGCTTCAGGACAGAAACAGGTAGTTCTTAAAACAGTTTCTCTTTCTTTTCCCCTCCATCACCACCAGACAACTTACCAGGTAGAATGTGTCTGAAATAGCTGCTCTCCAGGTGAGGGTATGGTGGCGGAGGTAGGGTGTAGTTTCTCTCTGGTATACCACACATCACTCCTCGATCCCCAATACCCATTGGGAGCATCAGAGATAGAGCAGAGGGCAAGGAACTCAAGGAGGGGCCCAAGTTTGGAATTGCAACAGGCAAGCCTGCAAGAGAAAATGCCAATTTAAATTCAACAGAACTACTTAAGTTTAGGAACACGCAAACTAATGAAGCTCCTCAGGAGCTCTCTCCCTATGGAAATACAGCATGGTACTGTCAAAGTAAGGTGGCAAGCTTCAAAGAAAGGATCAGTTATCACAGCACTGAGAGGCATGCCTGAATATAGCTAGATCTTTTCTGGATACGTTTTATAGGGCTCGCTTCTACTTTACAATTGTAATGGACTTCTGTCTGTGCAACCCCCTGAAAAAAAGAGCTAGGAAAACAATTTTGCTTCACAGGTGAAAAATCATTATTTTCACCTGAGAGAGATTAGACACAGATGGAGGCAGATCTTCAGCTACAGTTTGTATTTCAAAGGATTCTGCTACTACTCACCTACAGTGCAAACCGACACCACCACCCCTACCCCCCACCCCCCTGAAAAAAACAAGGCTGCCACTAAGGTGTAAGCCTGATAAGACTCATGCCTTTTCCTTTGCCCACATCAGCAACGATTTATGGTCTCCCCTTCCCCAACTCTACATCACCTCACCACCTGCTAAAGATATGACTTGCTATCAGAGCAAGCCCTGCTACTCAGTTATGACCATTCCTGTGACAGTAAAACACAGAGCATGAGCTGCAATACCCTTTGTGGGGCCTTTCCCCATTACCTGGTGCTGGTATGGCATTGTGAGTGGGGGACGCCGCCAACCCCAAGTGACTCCCCGAGACCGGCAGGGCATTGCTCACAGAGGATGAGGTCAGCTGGTCCATCCCTACAGGACTCAGGTTCATTTCATTCATTCTGGAGCCAGGGAACAGAGAGGGGAGGGGGGAAAAGACAAAGAAACAGATGCAAGAACATTCCTGATTACTGACTGTACTGTGGTGAGGAAGGGCTGAGCAAAAAAACTCAGACATTGGCACATAAAAACTTTGCCTTAGAAAGCTAAGCATAAAGCACATCAGCCGCTCACATCGTCTTCACATCATGATCAATACGTATTGACCAGATTACATAGCAATAATAAGGATTTAAAACTAGTTCAAAAAGACAATCAGACCATAGCTTTTTCCTTGCCGTTCAGAAAACACAGTCTCGCTCCTAGCAGTCAAAGCCACTGTGATTAAAGTATTGTGAACACAGATCAATTTGCAAGCTGAATGTTACAAATACTCAGACAACAGCACCTGATTTAAATTTCATGACTTCTGGACACCACATTCACATTTGAAAACCAAAGTCGGGGGAGAGATCACTTCCCACTGGTAATGGACACAAAATCTCTAGTTCACCATCAGTTCAAACCAGGCCAACAGCGACAAGAGTTACCACTGCAGAACAGCCATAGTACAGAATTTTAATAGGCTGCCTCAGTCTGGTTCTACATGCTCCTATTCCATTACAAATTGGCACCATGGATGACACGTTATTTCAGAGTAAGTAAATACTGGTTCCTGAGTGCCTGCATGGCTCAGGTGAGCACACACCACATCAGTGGCCGTAGAGCTGCAGGAGCCAACGCGCTGCCCAACACCTGAAATCACCAAACCATGTCAGCTCCAGGCACATCTATCCTCTGGGGTCTCAGGCTGCACATGCAGCCCAAACCAGTCCATAGGGATGGGGACACCAAGGAGGCACAGTCAACTCATGCTTGTCGCAACTTCACAAGCTCTGCCTGGCCTATGCTCTGCCCACCCTGGCCCTCCTGCCCACACAGCAGCTCTAACCGGCAGCTCATAGGGCCGGACAGACCAGCTACCCCACAGCAGCCACAACTCCGGCAAGGAGACCCAACGCCCTCCCCACTGGTCCAGCCTGTCACATGGCCCTTGCGAGCAGCAGGCCCAGGTGCTGCAGTACTGATGGAGAGCAGGACCTTAGACTGCCATTCCAGTAAGGAAAGGTATACCGCTCACCCAGGAAAAACAGCCAAATACACCGAACTCTAGCGAGTTAACAGCGGAAGATCTCGGAAGGGGCCCATAGGGACCATCGAGTCCGCCCCCAGCCCCCCGCACAGCACCTGACACCCGGAGGGCTGAGCCGCGCGAACGGCGTCGCCGACTTTCACACCGCGTCCACCCAGCTCCGCACACGCACTGCCCGACCCTGCCACCTGCCTCCAGGGACGGTGCCGAGGGCTCCGGCTGCCCGCCGGGGCAGGGCATTTATCCCCCGGCCCAAGCGGCTGCTGAGGATGGCGATGCCCAAGGGAGGGAACCACCACCTTCGACCCGGGACCGAGCCTCGGGGCCTGCGGAAAGGCGCTGAACTTTAGGGAACCCTCCCCTTGCCGCGCCCCATCGGCGCGGGGTCCCGCCCGCCTCTCCGAGGTTTGCTCAACCTGGGGGGTGGCATGGAGCCCGGCGGCTCTCCGGCGGCGGGAGCGCCCGCAGCCGCATCAAGGGCCATCGGCCCCGGCCCGCCGCCTGCCCCCGCCCCTGGTTCCGGCCCCAGGCACGGCCCGGCCGCACGACGCTCCCAGCGGCCCGCCGCCGCCGTCTACATGGGCGGGCCCGGGCGGGCGCCCGGCGGCGCGGGCCCCGGGCGCGGGCGGGCGGGGAGGCGGGAGCGGGCGGCGGTGATGGCGGCGGGAGGGGAAGGCGCCGCTTCCTGCTGTGGCGGCTCGGCGGCGGAAGCGCGCCCACCCGCCCGGGACTCGGCCGCTCACCGCCCGCCCCGGCTCCGCCGGCTCACCGAGAGCCCTGCCCAGCGCTCCCCGTGCCGCGCCCTGCGGAAGGGAGCGATGCGTGCTCTGGTTTTCCTCACAGTGGTTCCACACAATATTCCCACACAATTCTCCCAGCCCCTTACTGCCTGCCCGTCACATCCGTGTATGTCTGCTGTCATTAGAGGGTTGTGTCTCGTGTCGTCTGGAACCATCACCAGCTACCTTCTGCACATTATCGTTCAGTTATGAACTGATTTATGGCTCATATGTACCATTCCGGTTGAGGCGACATTGCAAAGGAATCTCTTGATGCGTGCGAGTAGTTTTGTAGCTTGCTTTCGCCTGACACGCGGATAGTCATCACATATGCAGCTCAAGTCAATCTCCATGTTCCTTAAGTGCCGGGGTGAACAGCTGTTTCCTGAAACACCGTAATGTGGTTTGGTAATTTGATTGTGCCTGACACGTAAATGATGCCTCATTAAATGAGACATCCCTTGATAAGATGTCTGTCTGCACAGGAGGAAACTCTCAGTATTTTTCTGTCTTCTCTCTTTTGATCTGAAGAACATAAATGTAGGATCCATAAGAGTCATTCCATGATCTAAAGGGCCTAAAATGTAGGATCTGAGAGAGTCATTCCAGTTCAGTACAAACCTATCAGTTCTTCTAGGGGTGGAAACATGCTCTCCTCATTTGGCTATACCTGTCAGAAAGTTAAACACCTTGTATACACTAGTTCTTCAAGCTCTCTCTGTAGCTGAAGGAGAGAAAACAGTCTGTTGCAGGGTGCTTCATTCCATCCTGAAGTTGTCTGAGATGTGTGAGAATTTCCTTTGTATCTGCCTTTCTATAGCTATGGCCTTTAGCTGGGACCTGCGTAATTGCTTTAGTCTAAATATGTAACATCTAAAGGAGTACATTTAGGCAAAGTAAATCCAGGCCTCTGTCACTCATGACAAAAAGAGTGACCACATATCCCACAACATCTCATCCACTAAGCCAGATAATCCTTACCCTAACCATGACTGACTGTAGTTGAATTGGCCCACAAACATTATTTCATCAGGTCAAGAAGGAACTCATCAAGTCCTCAGATTTTTAGGGGCTGATAATCTTCTGATGGGGACTTTATGTGTGTTTCATTTCTGTGTATGTAGTACCACATATTCACATGGTTGGTGCTAATACTTCACATCTTTCTTAGAAATTGCAGCAAATTCTTACAAGCCCAAAAATATCTCTCTTCACTTTGCATTTCCTAATACATAGGAGATGACAGGAGACCTTCAATTTTCTGTTCTCATCCTTACAACTCTGCAGTTATGCTCAGTACATCTCAGTTCTGTCCTGAAATGCTAGGTTATCCCAAGCCCTCAGCTTGTCTTAATGCCAATTATGATAGTGTAATGATAGTGTAATTCTACCACAGAAGTGCCCTGGTGCTGAAATCCTTGTGCTATTTCAGCTATCTGAGCTGAAAGTAATACTTTGAGCCTATGAGCCAGATTGGATGTAGTCAGACACAGATAAGAGTGGTTTTTTCCTACTGTCAAATGTGAGTCCTCTGAGATTCCAGCTTTTTTTGTAGTCACTTTACTCCATTGAACACAGAATATCTTAAATCTTAACTACCAGTTTAAAGCACAAGTATCAAAGGAAGCCAGTGATAATATGAAGTGTCACTGAATGAGAAATTAATCTGTGTCTACAGAGATGTATGCTGCATGCCCAAGGTATTGTGATAAAACACATTTGGGGACTGTTTCTTCTCCAAGGAAAGATATGTTTTATATACCAAACACTTTTATTATATGTGAAGGGTTTTGATAAGACGACTGCACTATGTGTCCTGAAAGCTTGGTTTATTGACATTTATAGCAGTACTTGCTGCGCGAGGAACAAATTGTCAAGCTATTTTTCAAGTTGTCTTCAGATCCTGGAGACATACTAAAAAGATAAGGGAGACTCATGAAACCACAGAGGAAAGAAATGCAGTGAGCATGCTTCAGTCCTTCCCTGTAGCATGAGCCAAAGTCCCTGCTGGACCACGCCCACATCTCCCTACGATCAGTTCTCTTCTGCTATTGCAAATCTGCCCTTGGGTTCTTTCTCAGAGCAAGCAGAATTACATTGGAATGAAGATTATGCAAAAAGCAATGGCTGAAGCCAACTTTTTTAACATCAAAAATCCAAATTTCTCACCACCTTTTCAGGTATCCTTGTCAGCACTTTGCAGGCCTGTATTTTGGTGATAGTCACACTATGAAACCTGGGTAGTTTATGTGCAGCTCTCACTTCTAGCTATAAAGCTGGAAAGAGATGGCTCATGCTTAATGATAGAACAGGATTAGAGAGACATAAACCTATTGAATCTTGTGTTCTTGTGTCTCAGTGTCAAGTGAAGTTATTACTGTCATTCTGTGGCATACAGTTAACAAGAAAATCTGTTAATTGCATATTTTTATGTCTGTTAATAAATTGCAGCAGCCTAGACAAACTATGATATGTATAATAAATACTACAATTTAATATAATTACAGCAAATTAAAATATAGGAAGTGCACGATGTTGTGAGAGTTTCTTTTTAAACTCCCCACGGATTTTCTTCTTCTTCCTTCTCAGTAATGTATCTACCAATAAAACAGTTCAGACATCATCTTTTGGGAAATAGGTGGACTTTGGGAAATAGGTGGACTAGTCAGTTGTTCAACTGACTCTTGTGTTTCTACTACAATATTTCAACTGATGACTTTTTTTTCACACACAGAGGGACACAGGGTCAATGAAAATCTCTTTCTTTGAATAATTCAAAGTAGTTCAAAGCAATCACTATGTAGTGCCAATAGTGTTATCCATGTGGGAGTGTGATCATGACGGTTCTTTTGTACAAAGATTACATACTTATAGATATTGTGTTAGGATATATGCAACTAAAATCACAAGTAAGTTATATCTGGAAGGAAAATGCCTTAATGTTTTATTTTTAGATATGTCAGAAATATTTTCTGTTCATTTTGGCTGGGTAATCAAGTGTTTATAGTGAAGTAAAAGGAAAGAGAGAAGGAAGGAAACCTGTTCAAATGCCATAGACAAGAGAGAAGGAAGGAAACCTGTTCAAATGCC